TCTCAAAGCAAGGTCACATCTGTGAGTTGGATGTAGAATGTCAGAAGCAATATAGATGTTTTTATTTTTAAAGTAAATTCAGATGGAACATAGTAAACACATGTAAATTCTAATGTCCGCCTAAAATAAAAACCATTACTTATAGTGAAAACAACCCTTGAATGATGGGTTAGTAGACTAAAAGCTTTAGGAATCCAAACTATAACATATAATAAGTACCCTGTATCAAGATTGATGCAAAACAAGTGAAATTTGACCTTTTTATAGAGGTTTTGAAAAATAAAGTCCAGGCGGACTCACCTCTGGGTAATTTGGGAACCATCAGTTCCATTTGAACTTTTTCACTGTAACAATCATTGTATTACTTTGAATTATCACTATAGGTATTCATTCCATCCAAATACAACTGTTGTGAAAAAAATTAAAATAAAATAAAACATACTCTGTTATCCTCTTAGGCCCCACGGACCCGAAATCGCGTCATTTGCAGGAAACAACGTCTAAGGAACCTTAATATTGAATAAATTATGAATATTGTATATCCATATAACGGGAAAAAACTAATTTAACTGATCTTTTTCATTTATTTTTTCAAAAAAAACACACAATGCTAACAGTGAGCCTCTGAATTAGCCCCGAGCGAAAAATGCTAACCTATTACTGCACCTAAAATCACTCCTAGCTCCCTTATTACTTATACTAGCTGCACATCCAACACATTGTTTATGATCGTAAAGACACAGAATCTAACGGTGCCCACCTCAACACTGAAAGATACAAACTCGCGAGGTTATCAACAAAAACGTACATCAAAACAAGTGGCGCTAGACTGTACTAACATGCGCTAGGCTAACAATGACTTACCTTCCTCTTTGTCTGGTCTAAACTGGTCTTCAATTGCATTAAAACGATAAAAACGATGATGTAGTTAATCCATAGGTTAATATCCAATGTGACCCCTTTGAAATGTTCTGATAATCTATAAGCAATACAACTGCAATTCCGTTATCTGCTGTCCACTCTGTGCTCCGTGCGCTCTGGGTCCTGCTGCAATTCCTGCTTCGTTACGTTGTAAACAATAAATGAAGTCGGCTGCGTAATGTTGTTACGCTGGCTGCCATTCTTTATACTTTACGCAGGACCATATCTCTGGAACCCATTGGTCGATTCATGTGATTTACACCTTTTTCTTAACCATTACATCCAATAGAATCGATGGGCAGTTCCCAAATCTACGTAAACATTACCATAGCGGACGTAATAGAGAAGCAAACGAAGCATATCTGAAAGTGCAAGCCTGGACGGCAAAACTTTATACCGAGTATATTGCCATAAATATGATGATGGATTATCAGTAAAAATGTCTACGTGACACAAAGACATTGGATTAACCTTGAGCGGCGTTTTTATTCCGTTGAACACAACTTTTGATCACAAATCAAAAAAAGGTAAGACGTAATTATTGTAATATTTTTGAAACCGGATGTTGTTTACTTTCTCTTTTCTGGCTGATAGCTACAGGAATTCGAGGTCGTACAGTGATGACATTACATGTGTGGAATCTGTGGAGTCTCAGCTTTAAATCGTATATCTTGTTTGTGCAGTTAAGATAGTAATAAGGGCATTTCTACCGTGAGTTCTGTGTAAAAAAAGCGTTAGCATTTTTTCGCTCAATGCTAATTCAAAGGCTTGGTATTACTCTTGTGTTTTTTTTAGCTAAAAATTGTTCTTATTTTCAGTTAGCGGAGTTTCTTACCTTTAAAAGGGTATGAAACATTAATAGTTTCATAAATGTTAAGAAGCCGTGAGACACAGTCTCGAAAAAAAACTGTGGGAGGGGTCCACTGGGGGGACCTTCGGGCTTAAGAGGTTAAAGCAGTGGCGGTTCTAGACCAATTTGGCTGGGGGGGCCAGGCTGGGGCCAGTTATTTTCTGAGGGGGGGCCCAATAAATGCAGGTCGGAAAAGACAGTATGAAGTAATTGCGCATAAGAAGACAAAGCAATACAGTTATTGGTATTTGTTTCATACACATATTTATTCAGATATTTATAGTTACAGTTTTTTACGCTCTAATGCAGGGATCTCCAACCTTTTTCAGGATGAGAGCTACTTTCTCAAAATATAAAACAAGTCGTGTGCTACTTTACTCCTCTTTTGTTGTTTTTTGCAGTGTATATATTTAGCACATTTTAACATTATTATATGCTTACCTTTAAACGTTGTGTGCTGTTTGGGTCTGTGGGACCCGTTTTCAGTGTCAAGAAAATGTATGCAATTTAATTATTTTAACCTGCTTTATTTGGGAGGTGGACCTCACCTCCTCGGGGGGTCCGGGGGCATGCACCCCCAGGAAGATTTGCTTTTAAATGTTGAAGTTAAATACATCAATCTGGTGCACTTTGAGCACAAAATGAATTTATGGATACAGCTCTCAACACTCAGATGAAAGGGAGCTGTATACTTTTCAATAATCCAAACATCTTTAGAATATGATTACAACCAATAAAAAATCATTTAAACTTGTTTATTCTTATCTGATGTTACCTAGTTAGCATTCTTTCTTTTTATTTATATATATTTTACCAATCACTCCCCTTTTAAACTGTTTTAATTTTTTTTAACTTTCTGTCTTATAGTACACATTGGAATGATTTCTTACTTTATTTTGTACAACTATATGAAATAGATAAAGGTGTGCTCTCTCTAATGGGTCCGACTAGAATTACAAATATCGTTAGTTCCACCTATTCCGTCAGCCAAGAAATCGTTTAATCATAAACTTTTTTTTCTTTTTCTTTTTCAGGGGGGCCACAGGGGGGTCCAAAGGCAGTGTTAGGGGGGCACTGGCCCACCCTGCCCCCCTATAACCGCCCCTGCTTTAAAGGTGAGTGGATTTATGGCAGGCAGTGAACCAACGATAAAAAGAACGGCTCTCACCAAGAACGACTCGGTTCCCTTCGTTCGTACCAAAGAGCCGTTCAAAAGAATCGGATCGTTCGCGAACGTCACATATACAGTGAACTCTTTTGCATCAGCAGCAGAACATCAACAGGAAACATGAAACCCTCCTGATGAAACCTGTCTCCACTGAACCTCCTCCTTGTTTTATGGTTCCAGCTTCACTTCAGGATGATCCAGGTGAGACCGCTGACACCGGCTGCTCCGCTCTCCTGGGTCAAACCATTGGGTCAACATGAAGATCCTCACCCAGCAGCTCACAACATCCCAGAGATCCGGACCTAAACCAGCTGCTACATCAACGCAGAGTCCCATCACTACAATCCCCTCCACCGTGTTACTGGAACTGATGCAAACAACATGAAGTATTTCACAACCAGGATTTCAAATATGGAGAGGAGTTGGAATTCGCAGTTCCCCATCACCATCGTATATGTTCCTTTACCAGACCATGCACTGACTAATGACATGAGTTAAGGTGACATTTTGATTTTACATTTATATTACCAGTGGTGTAAAGTAACTAAGTACATTTACTCAAGTACTGTACTAAGCTAAATTCACAAACTACACTAAAGTAAATAGAAATGACTTCATGCAAGGATAAACATATTTTTGAATCAAAAATTATATTCGAAATATGTTATATGACTCCCGAAATAGGCCAATCTGCATCATAAGTACTTTTGCTTTTGTCACTTTAAGTATATTTTGATGCTAATACTTTTCTACTTTTACTTGAGGAACATTTGTAATGCAGGACTTTTACTGTAACAGAGTATTCCTACACTCTGGTACTTCTACTTACTTATTTTTCTACAACCGGATCATTTGGGTTTGAAGCAAATGAAGACACAGTATCAAAGTGAATAAATAATGCATCACTCTTTTTCCTTTTGAAGCTACTTTGTATTTGTTATAATGCTGCAGTGGAGTTGTATAATGTGAATGTGACTCCTGACAGTTTCTAAGAGAGAATGTAGAGTTATATTTGTATTTCATGTTAGCAAACTATGGATAAGCTTAAAATGGGAATAATTTGGATAAAACTGTGAGCTGGATATGGGGCCTGTTGACATGTGTTTTTGAGGACAAAGGAAGATGGGGGAAGGTGAGAGCATGTCCTGATTTGCATTCAACTTAGAACGAGCTATGTTAAGAGAGGTCCCTTGGGTTTCTCTGGTGGTTATCAACAGTAGCAGTTAAGTGAATACTGTTCAAACAATACCTGTGTTTGTGTTTTATATTGATTTCTCTGTTTTATCCTTTCATAAATGTAAGGACTACAAATGGCTATAAACATTCTGGGCTGGTTGGAGTAAACAGGGTTTTATAGCTCTGTGGGGGAGGTGTAGGTATGCAGGCCTTGAGACCTTTTGTTGGAAAGTGAGCCTGTTTGGTTTCCTGCTGCGTTTCCTGCTGCGTTGTGTCTCCCAATGAGATGACCTGAAAAGATGACCAGCTGACCTAACACCAAACCCCTCCTTCTTACTCTGGTATATATCCGGTGGATCCCTGGCGTTCGGCCTCTTCTTCACATGCTGCCCTCGGGTGAAAGTAGCTCTGCAGTATGCGAACGAGTGCAGGAGTAAGCCGGCATTACTCCTTAAGCATTGCAATATAACTGTAATATATCATGTTGTATTGTAATGATTGTATTGCATTGTCATATTGCCATTAAAGTAGATTATTGTTAACGGTTACTTTGTAGATATGGATTCCTTCCTGTATTATAACCAGCTTCATAGGAACGCGCGGAGATTTGAAAAGCGGACCAGTTATCCCTACAAATCCCTAACAAGAATCAAAACAACTCCATCAAATCAGACACGTTGCACAGCTCCAGTATGCCATGCTTTACCCCTCACATGTTTTCTGCTGAGTGTCCTTCATCAGGGTGGGAGCTTCTTTGTTTACAGCAGGTTCATCCGTCACATGACTTCACACAAGCAAACAGATTTCATGAGTTTGGCATCTATGAATGTAAAGGTTAAAACAGATGTTTGAAGAGATGCAATGCAACAAATAAGAAGAGATTAGATCATTACGATTATTTATTTTTGTACAATTGTCATCATTTATATTCTCTGTAATTTGTCACATGGCTATTTGACAGATGTACGTGAAGAAACAACCTCATCGACACATTTCTGAATTAAACTGCTGCTTATTTAAACACAAGATATCTACAAATACTACACTTACTTGTACAGCTATAATTACCTTTAGGTGAATTAGAAATGTATGTTAGGCCCAGGTCTAGGGGAACCTAGGCGCAGCAATAACATTTTTCTAAAACTTGCCTAACCAAAAGGAATAAAGTACAGGCGTCTCACCTACTCTTATCAGTAAACAAAAAGAACAGGTTCAAACAAAAAGAGGGTTTCTCACTCCTAAACAAAGCGTGTCCTCGAGACAGGTCAAATTAGCTTAGCAATGTACACAAAGGGTTCGGTAAACGGTCACTTTAATAACACAGGCAACAGACCAGCTCTTCTACTGACATAGAGTTGGGAGTAGGAGAGGTCGAGTGAAAGAGAAGTTAGAAGTTAAACTGATAACGTATACTGCTATAACGTGATGTTTGACTCGAAACTAGATCAAAGGAGAACTGACAGCTTTGATTCTTAGTTTGGTTGATGTCATGAAGTTTCAGCACGATATACAGACTTCTTACATTTCTTCAAGAATTCACACAAAACTTAATCAAACATTCTCATTTCATCCATTACAAAGAAAAACAGAAAATAAATTCATCCATTTAAAGATTCTTGGATTAAAAATGTGAACTCTCATCGATCATTAAATGAGTCAAATGAAAACTATAAACACACTGTAATAAAGTTTGATGCAAAATAAACTCAATAAACAATCAAGTTGTTTGTTTGTCTTTGACTGACTCTTTGATTATAATGCGTAAAAATGTCATGCAAAGATTAATATCTCATCATCTGTTGATTATTTTCTTGAATGTTCCAAAGAGATGTAGACGGAGAGTGAAGTCAGAATAAAGTCTGAACCAACACTCCTGAGCATCACAGAGGAATCTCACGTCGACAGATTTTGATATCAGCAGTTTTAGCATCACCAGCTTCTCCAATACTGAACCATGGGAAGAGTTTCTCAGTGAAAGTGTCTCTGAGAGTGCAGATGGGAGTCATGTGTTCAGGGTCGTAGAAGCACACCTCCCCCCTGTCATAGTCCAGCTGGACTCTGATCCTCTGGGGATTCTTCTCCACTCTGACAGTCTCACTAGCACCATTAGAGTATCCTCCATCGCCATGCCATAAACACCAGATTCCATATTTTGGAGAGGCATCTGGTATCTCTCCCTTCCTGTCAGCTGACTCTTTAGTCAAACCTATATTCCAGTCAGGATGATCTCCCACCTCCACCTCCCAGCTGTGTTTCCCTGAGCTGAAGCCCTCAGAGCCCAGAACAGTAGCATACTCAGTGTATCTCTCTGGATTATCAGGAAGCTGCTGAACTTTGTCTCCATGTCTCACACTGGTCAGATCATCAGACAGAGAGAGCCATCTGTGAGCAGTGTTTGGGTCCAGAAGGACAGGACTGAAGTGGACCTGGTCCTTCATCTTCTCCCAGACTCTGAAGGACAGGTTGCCCAGGTGTTTGGCCACATCTGTCAGCGCTCCTGAGAGCAGCTGTGGGTCTGACAGTGAGCTCTGGACTCTGGCTCTGCTCTGAGTGGCTTTATAACTGCTGAGGAAGGGCACGTTGAGTTTCTGCAGCTCTTCTTCAACAGCAGAGATACTGTGTGACAGAGAGGAGATGTGCTCCTGAATGCTCTTCATCTCTCTGCTGATAGTCTTCCCTTTCTGCTCCTCTTCCTCCCTCAGAGCTGCCAGTCTGGACTCCTCTTCCTCTTTCAGGAACTGATGGAGCTTGATGAACTCTGCTCTGATCAGCCTCTCTGTGGACAGCAGCTGCTTCTCGGACACTTGAATCACTTCCTTGTATGTTGTCTCCACTCCTTTGTATTTGTCCCTCTTGTCCTGCAGAGACTCTAAGTCAGATGTCAGCAGGTCCTTCAGCTCACTGACTGCTTGTTCTACAGGAACCACCTTGTGACCCTGGTGGAGAGAAAACTCACAGACAGGACACACAGCTCTCTCTTCATCCATACAGAACAATCTAGGCTCTTCTGGATGTTTACTACACACCACCTGCACCTTCTTCTCTCCTTTCTCTGTCTCAGATGATCCAGCTTTCTGTCTCTCAGCAAAGGAGTCAGACAGTTCCTTCAGTCCAAAGTTCACCACAAGATCTTTGTAGGACTTTATTTTACAAATGGGACAGTTTGTGTTCTTACTTTGTCCCCAGAATGTCTGCAGGCAGCTCGAACAGAAGCTGTGGTTACAGCCCAGAGACACAGGATCTCTGAAAGTCTCTGAACAAACATGGCAGCTCAGGAAACTTTCAACAAGAGCGATTTTCTCAGCCATTTGGTATTAAAGTTATTTCTAGAGCAGGACTCACCAACTCACAGTCTCTCCACTTCTCTTCTTTATTCTCTCCAAGTGTGTGTTTCCCAGCAGAGATCTCACCTCCTCTGATGGCGTCTTCAACAATCTCTAAATCTTCTTTGGTGTCCTCCTTTACACAGTCTCTGGTTTTCTCTCACCTCCGTCACAGGATGAATGATCAACAGCAGGAATGCAGTAATGTCATGTATTCACCAGCAGATGGAGTCAGGATGTCTTTCAGAGGGAAATGCTCTTTGGTTTCAGTTCAGGACGATGACTTTGTCCAGGTATCTGTTGAAGACAAACACAAGAGGTTAAATACATTCTTTTTATTTTAAAGCTCATCTTTCTTGGTGTTTTATATCGTCAAAATCTAAAAGCTCATCAAATGCATTCAAGAAGGAAATGGTTGTTGTATTTGAGTCGAAGTAGGGTGGAACATATCAACAGGCTGTTCAGTCAAACCAGTTTGACATCATTTTCTTTCAACCGCTGTCACGTGAGTTTCCTTCAACTTTCATCCTGCCTCACGTCTTCATGTTCCTTCCTTCCCCCAAAGATTATTCACTTACAAAACTCACTTATGCATGCACAACTTTTCAACTACATTGTAGGATTTGATACGTTTTTAACATTTAAGAATACCAAGTAAGGAACAGTACATGGCGTGGCACCAGGCATCACATATTCATATAGAGAGGCGAAGTCCCGCCCATCTGCTTCCGCCCCATGGGACCTTATTTCAGAAAAAGTATGTATTGAAGTCAATGTAGAGAGAAAGATTATCTTTCGATCCCGTTTGAATTGTGCCACGAATTACACAGATGATGTTTGTCAATCTTAAAAAATAATTTCCGTGTCAAAAAAGTCTCAGTTTGTCGTAAAACTGTTGAAATATAAGACTATGAAAAATACGCAACTAGAAAGACTACAAATCCCAGAGTCCCGGTCCCGCATGCTGGCTCTTAGGAACCGACTAACTCCCCTTGTGTGTATGTACAGCTCTCAACAACACACTCTCACTCCCTAAGCGTCCAATAACGACGTTTGGTCAGTGTCCGTGGCGTCCAGATGTGACGCTCCTAGGCTCCTTCAGCGTCATAAAGTGACGCAAATAGCTTTCAACTGATTGCAATGGATTCCCATCTGCGGCGGGATTTGACGCTCATGGAAGCACGGCATTCGTTTGTGTCGGCTGCCCTTAAAGGCAATGTGAGCGTCCATTCCCATTGGATAACGGAGAATTGTACACCCGGAAGTAAGTATTCCCCTTACTGTCGATTGATTTTACAGTGATATCTGCACTACTCATCGACTAAAAAACACCAGATTATCCTTGTTAATTACACAACATTGATTGGTTTAAATTGTGTGCAATGCTTTTGTATTTTTCCCCTTCGATTCGGAGAAACAAATATTTTTTCGGAGTAAAGGATGGCAGAAGACACTACACTACCCAGAATCCCCAGCTATCGTTTGGACTACACCATGTGCTCTGTTTCACAAACCCCGTGATAGTCCTCAAGCTCTGTGATTGGTGAGTGTGCTCCGAGGGTTACGCCGAGCCTCGAACAGCACTTGAAATGGGAACCACTGCAGACTGTCCAAAACTGGATTTGAACGGGTCCACCGCGTCCCCCCCTCCCCCACCCCGTCCCCAGAACTACACATGCTGGCTATTCTGTTTCGCAACATGTTCTATCTATGGCACGTCTCTACTGGGAGTTGTAGTTTTAAAAGACGTTTTCGTATTTCCCATAATAAGAAGTTGCCAGTATTAAACTGTGTACATCCCTGGAGGTTTAGGGGGTAGGAAACACTCACATTTAAAACATATAATTAATAAATGGGTGAAAATGGCTTGTGCCCATAATGGGCAGCATTAATATACATATACACACATGCCAGCTAAGGTCAGAAGAGCTTTATTTAACAGCTGGTCTTATGTTTGTGACCCCTCCTGTTGTTAATTGATAACATTACATTACATTAATTGATAAGCCTGAAACATGCACTTGTCAAGGTTCAGAGGCAAATTTTGCAAATATGGCAGTAGCCATCGATCAGCTTAAGATAAGATATCATTTATTGATCCCAGGTTGGAAACATTTGCGTTACATCAGCAGGTGTAACAGTTAAATATGCAGTGGTGTTTATTTGTAAATCATTTAGTATAATCACACAAATTCTGTGTTTTATATTTAACAATTCTGTGTTCTTTATGTATTGATTGTTCAATACCTGACAAGGTCGGAGATGAAATATCTACATACATCTTATAAGAGTATAATACATTATGTATAATATCAGTTAAAATAAGTGCTTCAACATAGTTAACATTGCTGGAGGTATGCACAGATATTGATAGATGTCTTGTAATGCACTATTGAGGAACCTGCGACCCAAGTTTTTCATTCAATGCAGAACTACACCATAGTTGTGTAGGCCTATATGATATGTCAATAAACCTTAGAAAATCTTGAAATATTGAAAGGGATGTGCAAAATAGTAATTATATACAGTCTTTAGTGAACTATTAGTAGAGAATAACGAGTAATTAATATACTTTATAGGGATCCTATTAATATCTAATAATAAAAATAATGAAATTCAATAACATGCTTTAACCACTAGGTGTCCCTTTATATCAGCTGTGCACCTTTATGGTGTAAATACAGCCTATCTACCAATTGGATCAAATATAAAAGTCAGCCGAATTAGTGTTGATACTGCAAGGAGACGTATTGTGTGAAAAGAAATGTAAGATGTTGTTTAATGGCTGATATATTTATGATCCACGTCACGTTTTCAGTTCCTCATGTTTGTCTAGAAGTCTTCTCATCAGGGCTCTATAAATACAGAACTACGGCAGATATGTAATATTTAATGCAGCCGAACCGTGTATTACCATGCCGTTATGTGATGACTTTCAAAGAGAAAATCAAGCACACTCGGAATAAAGTATTATTGTATTTTTTTTAAATGTTTTCGGTCTGTTTCCGGAATTTGTTAATGACGATGTGCTGTGAGATGTGAGACTGGAATTGCACAGGGGGAAATAACGTGTTTTCGCTGTGGACCAACACTACACATTGACGGGGAAGGGGGTAGCAATAAAGATAACACCATTAAACAGTTACACAACATAACAGAAATAATATCGATAGCAGCGTCCCTAGCAACCACCTTGGTAACAATGAAAACGTCGCGATTTCCTGAAGTAATCTTCGTAATAATTAGCAAACTAAAGATCATGTACATCCACTGCACACATAATCTGAAATAACAACTCATATTTCTCGCATCAAATTATATCAAAACGCATTTTAATGGCCAAACTAACTTTAAAATAGGCATTTTCCACCGAGAATAAAACGAAGTTCGGCCATGTTTTATTTTTCTGCAGGGAGAAATTTGAAGATCACGTGACATAGACGCCAGCCATTGGAATGAATGGTGAAAAAAACGGGTTTGTCAAACAGAGCACATGGTGTAGTCCAAACGATAGCTGGGGATTCTGGGTAGTGTAGTGTCTTCTGCCATCCTTTACTCCGAAAAAATATTTGTTTCTCCGAATCGAAGGGGAAAAATACAAAAGCATTGCACACAATTTAAACCAATCAATGTTGTGTAATTAACAAGGATAATCTGGTGTTTTTTAGTCGATGAGTAGTGCAGATATCACTGTAAAATCAATCGACAGTAAGGGGAATACTTACTTCCGGGTGTACAATTCTCCGTTATCCAATGGGAATGGACGCTCACATTGCCTTTAAGGGCAGCCGACACAAACGAATGCCGTGCTTCCATGAGCGTCAAATCCCGCCGCAGATGGGAATACATTGCAATCAGTTGAAAGCTATTTGCGTCACTTTATGAAGCTGAAGGAGCCTAGGAGCGTCACAACTGGACGCCACGGACACTGACCAAACGTCGTTATTGGACGCTTAGGGAGTGAGAGTGTGTTGCTCTCAACGTGCCCAGACTTGGAGTGATTGTCACCTCTTTTAATACTTTCCGCCTCATTCTGAGAGAAAGGAGTGAAATGTTTCAACGTGACGGCCGTCTTGGTGTGTGGTGCGAGAAGGGAGATGTAGTTCATTGAGCGGTTTCACACAAAGTGTTTCTTCACAGTTTTACGACACATTTTTATTTTTTAACTTGCAAAATTATCTTTTAAATTGACAAACATCATATGTGTGATCATATGTGTTTGTGAATGTTATTCCCGGCACCTGTGACGGAAAACATAGGTTTGGAATTGATGTGAATTAATTTGGTGAATGAAAGTTTGAATGTACTTTTTATTATCACCGGTCTTTTATGAGGAAATGCCTCTAAATTCTATCAGGAGATTTAAAAATCACAACTGAATTGGGCAGTTGAAATTACAATTTAATGTAATGAATGTAAAACTGTGAATTAAGTTTCATATTTGAACATGATCACAGCATGATAGGTTTAGTATGATTATAATGTTGTAAAGAGAGAGAAGGTAAAAACCCCTGTATTAGTTTGGACCTATTTTTCTTCAAATAAACTGATCCCACATTTTGGACTGGGACAACTTAAAAGACATCTGCGCCCTCCTCTCCTGCTTCAAAGGTAAGATTGCACACTGCCACACTCACACTTAGGTAGGGCCACATCTCCTTTACTGATATCAAAATCCTTCGGGATCGCTTCAACAGATTTAAGAGAGTTGTCTGAATTGACACAGCAGTTAATTGAACCTGGTTCTTCAGGAGTTAATAGAGGTGAGAGCTTGTTGGTGGATCTGAGCCAAGCAGTAAACTTACATACACTCAATAACTTCTGTTAGGTTAATTAGTAGGTCTGAGTAATTTGCCGGAATAAATTATCAGCTCCACCAAACTCTTACAACTGATAAAAGATTAGAAATTAAAAAACTCTCATTGTTATATCTTCATTCCAATGGAAGGAGAATCGATGGCAGTGAGAGACAAATATAGCACTTATTGAACATTAGAGCATTTAAACATGTCACAGTAAAAGCACAACATCCAAATACGTGAAATGAGAATAATATGTCCTTTTTAAAACTACAATAAAGAGTCGAGCTTTTTCAACAATTTAAACTGAAATAATTCTAATAATATGATTACTAAATAAAAATGGGCCTTGTGCTTTCTCCTTCCTTCACGGCCTGCAGTTGTGTGGATTTAGAGGACATTCATCATAATGAAGTCACATGATCTATCCGCTAGGGAGGGCGGGACCTTAAAGGAGACAGGTGGAGACTGAGATAACCAATGGGAGGAGCTGAACACCAAGTGAGACTGCAAAGGCCGGGGAGGGCGGGACCTTCAATGAGACAGGTGGAGACTGAGATAACCAATGGGAGGAGCTGAACACCAAGTGAGACTGCAAAGGCCGGGGAGGGCGGGACCTTCAATGAGACGGGTGGAAACTAAAGATAAACTCTCTCCATGTGAATTGTTAGGAACCAGAGCTGTTGTTCAGTTTTCATTTGTTTATCGTGTTTTATCGGTCAATAAAAGTCAAAGTGGCTCAAATATGTTCAATTCATTTTGTGAATATTTCTTCAAAGCATGAGAGCAAACTTCATTGTATGTTGAACATTTATCTCAGTTAATGTAGAAATCATAATCCTGATATAGTCTAAAGTCTATCAACTCGAGTGTATGTGTTTTTCTTCCTGACACGTTTTCACTCTCATTTATTCATGTGATTATATCTTCACCCTCTCCTTGGTATCAAGGGTGAGTTCATTTCAACACTTTTTGGATTTCCTTTTTAGAGACAAACCCCTGCAAAATAAATAATGATCTAGTTGTTTTTGAAACAACGCATGTTCAGTTAATGTCTTACATATATTTAGAATGTATAAATAGGAGAGTAAAAGGTTTTTAAAAAACAGGATTTTGAGGAAATGAAAGTTAAATGTATTTAGCCTCAAATTCTTTAAAGAAAATACAGATGTCTCATTATCTTAGTTTAATTAATTAACCTCCATCCTGCCGGAAATCAAATTGTTTATTTCAATTCAAATCTGTTGATGTAGTTAAAAGAAACATAAAGATATTTCAGCACTCAGCAACTCACAGTCTCTCCACTTCTCTTCTTTATTCTCTCCAAGTGTGTGTTTCCCAGCAGAGATCTCACCTCCTCTGATGGCGTCTTCAACAATCTCTAAATCTTCTTTGGTGTCCTCCTTTATACAGTCTCTGGTTTTCTCTCACCTCCGTCACAGGATGAATGATCAACAGCAGGAATGCAGTAATGTCATGTATTCACCAGCAGATGGAGTCAGGATGTCTTTCAGAGGGAAATGCTCTTTGGTTTCAGTTCAGGACGATGACTTTGTCCAGGTATCTGTTGAAGACAAACACAAGAGGTTAAATACATTCTTTTTCTTTTAAAGCTCATCTTTCTTGGTGTTTTATATCGTCAAAATCTAAAAGCTCATCAAATGCATTCAAGAAGGAAATGGTTGTTGTATTTGAGTCGAAGTAGGGTGGAACATATCAACAGGCTGTTTTTCATCATCATTTTCTTTCAACCGCTGTCACATGAGTTTCCTTCAACTTTTATCCTGCCTCACGTCTTCATGTTCCTTTCAAATAAAATCTACTGATATTGTTAAAGAAACACATTATTAATAAACACAAGTTATTATTAAAGATATCAAGAAATAAAACAGATGTGTCCATATATTATAAAGGTATCCATTCATCATGATCTAACATATCCTTGAAATCATAGATGTATAATCTTGCTTTATTCCTGGATGACATGATGTTTAAATAACTCGTGTATTTAACATTATACAAACATGGCGACACTTTTCAACCTGACACCAACTCACCTCACCTGATGTGACCTGATGCAGTTATTTGAAGTGACAGAGGAAACTAGCAGTCACTCTCACACTCTGCCCTCTGGTGGATGATTCATGAAGAGCAGCTTAAACAGACCAACAGGTCCAACCGTCTTTAACCTCCTCTCACATTGAACTACTTTAACAGTGAACTCTTTTGCATCAGCAGCAGAACATCAACAGGAAACATGAAACCCTCCTGATGAAACCTGTCTCCACTGAACCTCCTCCTTGTTTTATGGTTCCAGCTTCACTTCAGGATGATCCAGGTGAGACCGCTGACACCGGCTGCTCCGCTCTCCTGGGTCAAACCACTGGGTCAACATGAAGATCCTCACCCAGCAGCTCCACTCCAGAGGTCACAACATCCCAGAGATCCGGACCTAAACCAGCTGCTACATCAACGCAGAGTCCCATCACTACAATCTCCCTCCACCGTGTTACTGGAACTGATGCAAACAACATGAAGTATTTCACAACCAGGATGCTGCAGCTGGGTCCCCCATCACCATCTGATAAGTTCCTTTACCAGACCATGCACTGACTAATGACATGAGTTAAGGTGACATTTTGTTTTTGCATTGATATTATCAGTGGTGTAAAGTAACTAAGTACATTTACTCAAGTACTGTACTAAGCTACAATTCTGAGGTTTGTGTACTTTACGAGAGTATCTCCATTTTCTGCTACTTTGTACTTTTACCTCACCACAATTCAGAGGTAAATATTGTACTTTTACTCCACTACATTTATTTAACACCTTAAGTTACTTCGCAGATAAGCGATATAAAACATAATCAAGACTTAAATAAGTCTTTAGTTTGGACCTGAACTATAACATATATTATTCTGAAATTGTACTTTTTACTACTTTAATGAATATAAGAGAGCCTCACTACACCATTCGTCCCCCGTCACTTTGGTTCTAGCGTCCACTGTGAAGAGTTCCTTCAGGCAGCAGATATTTGGTTGATGAGAACTGACCTTTCTTTGAGGTCCCCTCGTCCCTCCATAACCAACATTGTCTACAAGTTTCAGTTTGACCCTTCAACATCTTGAGGACTTTATGGAGAATAGTTGTGTTATTACTGAGAGCTTGGGGACCATAGTGGTGTCTTCTCCTCAATGTAAAGGAATATCTTAATGAGCATTGTAATAAGAATCAAAGAAACTTGCAGGTAACCGACATGATGTCTGACCCTGAAAGATTGTTGATACGCGGAGTGAAGCAGGTAGGACCCAAACGCAGATAATACTGATAATACCTTTATTTCAAGGGCTCTTATCGAACATATCACATGGAAACAAACAAAACACTCTACGGTGAACTAGGTCACAAACAAAAGAAGCACCAACACTGAACACAGGAAGAGACCAGACTAGGCTTCTTGGCTGACAGCCCAAGGCGAGGCAGAGTTCGAAGAGGGGGTCTCGGGCGGACGGCCCGGGGGCAAGGCAGAGTTCGAGGAAGGGGTCTCGGGCGGACGGCCCGGGGGCAAGGCAGAGTTCGAGGAAGGGGTCTCGGGCGGACGGCCGGGGGCAAGGCAGAGTTCGAGGAAGGGGTCTCGGGCGGACGGGCCCGGGGGCAAGGCAGAGTTTCGAGGAAGGGGGTCTCGGGCGGACGGCCCGGGGGCAAGGCAGAGTTCGAGGAAGGGGTCTCGGGCGGACGGCCTGGGGGCAAGGCCGAGTTCGAGGAAGGGGTCTCGGGCGGACGGCCCGGGGGCAAGGCAGAGTTCGAGGAGGGGCGAAGCCCACAGCGGGCGAACTCAGGGGACCGGGCTCGAGGGCGAAGACCGGACAGCTCCGGAGGCCGGGCAGGAGCCGGTGTCGACCGGACAGTATCCGGAGCCGATGGGACAGGTGTCGGCAAGATTCCAGGATTCCAGGACCCCCCCCCGGCAGAAGAGTAGTCTGCGGGACCTCCAACGACACGGGACATAGGGTTGGCAGGACCCCCGGCAGAAGAGTAGTCTGCGGGACCTCCAACGACACAGGACATGGGGTTGGCTGGACCACCGGCAGAAGAGCAGTCTGCGGGACCTCCAACGACACAAGACATGGAGTTGGCAGGACCCCCAGCAGAAGAGTAGTCTGCGGGACCTCCAACGGCTCAGGACATAGGGTTGGCAGGACCCCCGGCAGAAGAGTAGTCTGCGGGACCTCCAACGGGACAAGACATGGAGTTGGCGTCGGCTGGAGAGCCAGCAGGAGCCGAGGTGCCGGAGTCGGCCGGTACGCCGACAAGACTCGGGGAGCTGGCATAGGCTGGGGAGCCAGCAGGAGACGAGGTGCTGGAGTCGGCCGGTACACCGACAAGACTCGGGGAGCTGGCGTCGGCTGGGGAGTCAACAGGAGACGAGGTGCCGGAGTCGGCCGGTACGCCGACAAGACTCGGGGAGCTGGCGTCGGCTGGGGAGTCAGCAGGAGACAAGGTGCTGGAGTCGGCCGGTACAACCGACAGGCCTCGGGGAGCTGGCGTTGGCCGGTACGCCAGTCCTGGAGCCGAAACTGGGAGTCGGGACCATGGCTACTGGGGCCGGTACTGAAGCCAGAATTATGGCTGTAAGGTCCGGTTTTGGAGCCGGAAACATGGCTGTAAGGTCCGGTTCAGGAGCCGGAAACATGGCTGTAAGGTCCGGTTCTGGAGCCGGAAACATGACTGTAAGGTCCGGTGTGGAAGCCTGGACCCTGGCTGTGTACGCCAGGTAATCCAGTATGGACGCAAAGCTGCGTGGGCCGGTACTGGAGCATGGAGGCATGGCTGCTGGGTCCGGCACTGGAGCTGGAACCATGGCTGTTGGGGCTTGTACTGGAGTCGGAATTGTGGCTGCTCCGGCTGCTAGCCTGGCCTTGCGACGACTCCTCTTAGCAGCCGCCTGAATACTCCGTGGACCTCCATAAGCCAGCCGAGTTCCGGAATACAACTCCTGGACAGGAGCAGGAACTGGAGCAGAAGCACGGGTTGAGTGTAGGCGGAACCCACCAAGGCGTATGGTGCCAGGTTGGGAATAGACCTATCGCTAAACCACGCCCCAAATATAATTTGTCCAATCATATCACAGCGAAAATCCCTCTTGGCAGAAAACTCGGACATCACCAGAAAAGCCGGGCGCATCAAACCAAAACCAGACGTCTGTGATCGAAACCACTGTGAAGAGTTCAGTTTCTATGTTTATTATCTAGCGAATATCTGATGGTGAAAGGCTGTGCGTGGGGTACCTGTAATTTGGACACCAGGTACCCTGAAAGACTGGATGGAGGAGTATATTTCGTACCTTTTCCGAAGCCCAAAAGAAAACTCGACAAATGCAAGCGGTGGATTATGCTGTGTCGTCGACCACATACACAACTGAATGTGAAGACAATTACCAAGGACACTTATGTTTGCTCAAAGGTAAGGTCAATTCATAAAGACATAGTATTTGACGGCATGTATTAGAAACGTAGACCAAACTATTAGTTTGCTAACGATTGACTTTGACTGCCAACTAGCTAGCGTATATCCAGCCCAGCTAGCTAACGTTAGCTGCCAACTTGTTAGCCAGCTAACTAGCTACAGTGTTATCAACATCAACGTTTGCTGTCTGACTTTTCGTCCTCGCTAGTTAGCTGGTGTTTTTAGCTAACTTTTGCGAACTGTCTTTTCACCTCAAAGCACTTCAGAGATGGGAAGCCAACTCTGGAATATCCAGATCCCATCCGGGCTCTCGTGTGTGCTGCTCCGAAAATACACAGACCCTCACCCAAAAAAAGGTAACGTTACAGTCAGCCAGGTGCATAACAGTGAAAATGATGACCAACAAGGACAGTTATAGATTTAATGTAGTGACCACCACTGATAACATTCAACATCATATTATCATTTCAATGGTTACACAACAGTCACCACTACACACGACAGGCAACAAGATTAGATATTTTATATAAAGAAATACATGGCTACCTTTTTACTCTTGCTTTTAACTGTTAACTTTCATCTGCTGTTGCTTTTATTAGCTATTGCTTCTATTTTAATGTTATTTTAACTTGAACTCCCCCCGCGGCCATTGTCAACAGTCATTCACGGTCGGCTTTGTTTGTCCGAGTTTTCAAAGGGGGCGTGGCTTAGCGATAGGTCTATTGGGAGCCAGGGAGCTAGCATGCCTGGGGCTAGCAGGCCGGGAATCCCACACCGGAATCATGGCTGTTGGAGCACGGGCTGGAATCCTGGCCCTGCGTCTCCTAGAGGCTCTTTGGAGACTCCGTGGACCTCCAACAGGACCGTAGTCGGATCCGAGGAAAGGGTTAGAAGCGTCGGACCAATCCTCAGGACAACTTGTGAAAAGCTGTAACCACTCCGGCAACGAACTCCTCAACCAAGGCATTTCGGCCACCTCCATTCGTGCCTTCTCGAGAATAGCCTCTTTGTCCTTTCTAGAAGAAGTTCCTTTCCACTCAGCATGATAACATTGTAGAGAAGAGTCTAGATCGAACAGATCCATCTCAAACTCCTGAA